GGTGACAGAGCGAGACTTAAAAAAAAAAAAAAAAACACCTCAAAGTGGATTGAAGCCCTAACCGTAAGAACTAAAACTCCTAGAAGAAAATATAACTTCAGGCCAGGCATGGTGGCTCATACCTGTAATCCTAGCACTTTGAGAGGCTGAGGTGAGCACTTCAGGCCAGGAGTTTGAGACCAGCCTGGCCAGCACAGCGAAACCCCATCTCTACTAAAAGTACAAAACAATTAACTGGTGTGGTGGCTCATGCCTATAATCCTAGCTACTCAAGAAGCTGAGGTAGGAGAGTCACTTGAACCTGGGAGGCGGAGGTTGTAGTGAGCTGCGTTTGTGCCATAGCACTCCAGCCTGGGTGACAAAGAAACCCAGTCTCAAAAAATAAATAAATATAAAGGAAAGAAAAAAGAAAGCATAGCGTCAGAACATTGGATTTTGCAATGATTTCTTGGATATAACACCAAAAATACAGGCAACAAAAGCAACACTAGACAAATGGGACTACATCAAACTTTAAACTCCTGTATATCAAAGGAAACAGAGTGAAAACACAGCCTATGGAATGGAAGAAAATATTTGCACATCATATATCTGGGCTGGGCATGGTGGCTCACACGTGTAATCCCAGCACTTTGGGAGGCCGAGGCTGGTGGATCTCTTGAGTTCAGGAATTTGAGACATGGCAAAACCTGTCTCTACAAAAAATACAAAAATTAGCCTAGTGTGGTAGCATGTGTCTGTTGTCCCAACTACTTGGGTGACTGAGGGTGGGAGGATTGCTTGAGCCTGAGAGGTGGAGGTTGGAGTGGGCTGTGATCGTATCATGCCACTGCATGATTTTTGAGACACTGTCTCAGAATATATATATATATATATATATATATCTGATAAGGGGTTAATATCCAGAATACATAAGGAATTTCCACAACTCTACAACAATAACAAAAACAACCCAATTTAATAACGGACAAAATAACTTGAATAGACAATTTTCCAAAGAAGACATACAAATAGCCAACAAGATATAAAAAGATGCTCAAAATAACTAATTATAAGAGAAATGCAAATTTAAACCACAATAAGATATCACCTCCCACCTATTAGGATGGCAGCTATCAAAGAACAAAAAACAAAGTTGGTGAAGATATGGAGAAATTGGAATCCTTATACACTGCTGGTAGGAATTTAAAATGGTGCAGCTGGGCCAGGCGCTGTGGCTCATGCCTGTAATCCCAGCACTTTGGGAGGCCGAGGTGGGCAGATCACGAGGTCAGGAATTTGAGACTAGTCTGACTGACATGGTGAAACCCTGTCTCTACTAAAATACAAAAATTAGCCAGATGTGGTGGTGTGGGCCTGTAATCCCAGCTACTCAGGAGGCTGAGGCAGGAGAATAATTTGAACCCGGGAGGCAGAAGTTGTGGTAAGCTGAGATCCCACCACTGCACAGCAGCCTGGGCAACAGAGCAAGAATCTGTCTCCAAAAAAAAAAAAAAAAAAAAAAAAAAAAAAACCAATAAATAAATAAAATGGTGTAGCTATTATGGAGAACACTATGAAGGTTCCTCAAAAAATTAAAAATAGTATTACATTATGATCCAGCAATCCCACTTCTGTGTATATAACCAAAAGAGTTCAAAGCAAGATCTTGAAGAGACATTTGCACACCTACATTCGTTGCAGCATTATTTACAATAGCCAAAAGGCAAAAGAAATCCAAATGTTCATCAATAGATGAATGGATAAACAAAATGTGGTATATACATACAATGGAATATTATTCAGCCTTAAAAATGAAGGAAATCTTGTCACAAGCTACAACCTGGATGAACCTTGAGGACATTAAGGTAAGTAAAATAAGCCAGTCACAAGAGGAAAAATACTGTATGATTCAACTTATGTGAGGTGTCTAAAATAGTCAAAATTATAGGAACAGAAAGTGAAAAGTGGTTGCCAAGGGCCGGGGGAGAGAAAAGGTTCAATTAGTGTTTAATCAGAAAAAAGTTGCAGTTCTGCAAGATAAAAAGTTCTAGAGATCTTTTATACAACAAAGTGAATATACCTAACACCACCAAACTGTGTGGTATATGGTAGTGGTTTTTGTTCTTTTCTTTTTTTTTTTTCTGGAGACAAGGTCTGGCTCTGTTGGCCAGAAGGGAGTATAGTGGCATAATCTCTGCTCACTGCAACCTCCACTTCTCAGGCTCAAATGATTCTCTGACCTCAGCCTCCTGAGTAGCTGGGGCTACAGGTGCACACTCCATGCCCAGCTAATTATTTTGTATTTTTTTGGTAGAGACCTGGTTTTATCATGTCTCTAACAAACTTGTCTCAAACTCTTTGGCTAAAGTGATCCTCTGCTCTCGGCCTCCCAAAGTTCTGGGATTACAGCCATGAGCCACCATGCCTGGCCCCAAACTATATGCTTAAACATAGCCCAGATGGTAAATTTAATGTTCTGGTTTTTTACCACAATAAAAATTTAATGCTTTATTCATTTATTTAATTTATTATTTTTTTTGAGACGGAGTTTTGCTCTTGTTACCCAGGCTGGAGTGCAATGGCGCGATCTCGGCTCACCACAACCTCCGCCTCCTGCGTTCAGCCAGGTGCAGTGGCTCGTGCCTGTAATCCCAGCACTTTGGGAGGCCAAGGTGGGTGGATCACCTGACGTCAGGAGTTCAAGACCAGACTGCCCAACATGGCAAAACCCCGTATCTACTAAAAGTTTAGCCGGGTGTGGTGGCGGTCGCCTGTAATCCCAGCTACTCAGGAGTCTGAGGCAAGAGAATAGCTTGAACCCGGGAGGCTGAGATTGCAGTGAGCTGATATCACATTACTGCACTTTAGCCTGGGTGACAAAAGCAAGACTCTGTCTCAAAAAAAATTCATTCATACTGATTAATGGCTATTCATTTTTATCAAAATGCCACAATTTATTTTCTATTCTGTTCTTATTGGACATTGAAGATGTTTCCAGTTTTGAAGTATTACAAATGGCTATTAATTCCAGGAATATTTTTGTACATATCTCCTAGTATTAGTACCCATGTGCAAAAGTTTCTCTAGACCTAAGAGGCAAGGGTGTAAAATTAGGTACACATAAAATAATTGAAAACAACCTAAATACTCACCAACAGAATAATGGATGAATAAAATGTGACATATTTATGTGATGGAATATTATATAGTAGTCAAAAAGGATGAATCTTTTTTGATGATAGCCGTTAATCAGTATGAATAGCCATTAATCAGTATAAATGAAGTTTTTTTTTTGTTTTTTTTTGAGACAGAGTCTTGCTTTTGTCGCCCAGGCTAAAGTGCAATGCAACCTCAGCCTCCCGGGTTCAAGCTATTCTCCTGCCTCAGACTCCTGAGTAGCTGGGATTACAGGTGACTGCCAATCTTTATGTATTATCATGGATAGATCTCAAAAATTGTATGTGGAATGAAAAACCAAGAGAAAAACAGAAACAATGAATCACAATATTCAGATTTTTAAAAGGCACACATGACACAATACTAAATATATGTAAAATTATAAAAAATGGACTGGAAATATCCACAGTAAACTCACAATTGTGGTTGTCTCCAGGAAAGAAGTGAAAGGGAACTTTATTGTATCTGTAGCGTCTTATTTCCTTTAAAATAAAAGAGGAGGGGGCTGAAAAATATGACAAAATTCAAAGTTGTTAAATCTGTGTAGTTGAATATGAGTATTTGTTGTATTGTTCTTTGTAATTTTTTGTATCTTAAATTTCCTTCAAAACAAAACAAAACAAAAAAACAAGGTTGGATGCAATAGCTCATGCCTGTAATCCCAGCACTTTGAGAGGTTAAGGTGAACCACCGCGCCCAGCCTATTTATTTATTTTTATTTTGAGACATTGTCTCCCTCTTTCCCCAGACTGGAGTGCAGTGGCCCAATCTCGGGTCACCACAACCTCGACCTCCTAGGATCAAGTGATTCTCCTGTCTCAGCCTCCCGAGTAGCTGGGGCTACAGGTGAACGCCACCACACCCAGCTAATTTTTGTATTTTTAGTAGAGACAGGGTTTCACCATGTTGGCTAGGAATGGTTGAGGCAGGAACAATGGCAGAACTAGCCATTTTTTCTTCTTCAGACTTTGGCTCCAGGAGGCCATCCAGAGGTGTACTTGCGGGTCAGGGAGGTCGCCATGGCTCAACTAGGGTATGGCCTATGGTGCGGCCAGTTCAAAGAACCTTGCACCGAGTAGTCGACTCTTCTGCCTCAGCCTCTGGAGTAGCTGGGACTACAGGCACACGCCACCACGACCGGCTAAGTTTTTGTATTTTTCGTAGAGATGGGATTTCACCATGTTGGCTAAGCTGGGTCTTAGAACTCCTGACCTTCAGGTGATCCGTCGGCCTTGGCCTCCCAAAGTGCTGGGATTACATGGCTGAGCAGCCGCACCCGGCCTCATTACTAAAACCTTTAGGGAACACCTCCTCCCTCAACCATGTGCCAGGACCTGAAGACTCAGAGGTGAAACATTTTAGGGTGCTGCCTCCGAATCTGAATTTCAAGAATAGACTAAAATGATCTAGTCCTGGGCTTCTCTAAATTCGTTGCTGACCAGACTTTAATTTTAGGCTTTGGAGGGTGTGTCTGTGCGAATGAACGACTGAATCCTCAGAAAACGAAAGCTAGCTTCTATGGAACTTCAGTTAATTACGTTTCTCAAAACTATGCATCATGCCCATTTCTGGATGTTGGATAAAAAGATAAACCTATGCACAAAGGGCAGGGGAGGGATAGGCAATTCTGGGTGGGGAAGTTCTGCGAAAAGAAAATCAGTGTCTTACAGTCTACGCCCACTTTGGCTAGTCTGGCGTACTCCTCGACTCCGCGTTACCAGACTCGCGAAGCCCACTCCCACAGGCGAATTCGCGCTGGCGACCGAGTAAGTGACACCTAGTAGCGCGGAACTTTGCATGCCGGGTTCCGGCGGTAGCATACGCGCCGGGAAGTGTTTGGGCGCTGCACCGCGCTGCGCCGGGACCTTGAGGCCGGCGCGCAGAGGACAAAGGTGACTGCGTAGGCCCGCGCCGTGGTCGTGCTGGTTTCCCTTGTAGTTCGTGGTCTAACGCTAGGCCTCAAGTGAGAACTGCGTCACCATGTTATATACGCGGCAGAAACGAGAGCCTTTAAGGTTTCTGCCGGATGAGTCCCGGAGCCTGCCCCCGCCTAACCTGACCGACCCGCGTATCCTCTACTTAGGCTTCTTGGGCTACTGCTCCGGCCTGCTTGACAACTACATCTACCGGAGGCCGATCCTGAAGTCGGGTGAGGGCTGCGCTGGCGGAATCGGCTGGGAGGGGGGTCGCAAAGCTGCAGACCGGCCCTGCCCTACTCCCCCCTGAGGTGCTCTGCTTTTTGGTGCCTTTTTGCTTACTTGGCCCCAGCTCGCCTTCTCAGGCTGTCCGTGCCTGGTTAGCTCTTCAGAATCGAGCAGAGCCAGAGTGTTACTTGGCACGTGAAGAAACTTAGGTGCAGTTGTAACGGAGGGAGCGCGAAATCACCACTGAGACAAAGACTAGGCTAAATTACAGGGTCTTTATTGTCTGCGGCCACGGAGCACTCGCGTCTCCCCAACCCGTGGCCCCGAAAGGAGGGTGTCAAGTCCTGGCGGGGGTTAGGGTGAGGGGCTTTGGACATTCCTATTGTTACTTAAGTGGTTCACAGAAGTCAAGATAGGCGTTAGTTTACACATTGTCTGAGTAATGTGGAAATTACAGAACTTAGTTACTTATTACAAGTCTTAGTTTTTCTTAAAATGATGCAGGGGCCAAAATGGCGTTGGTTTGGACTGCTTGCCTGTCACATTAGGGTTACAGAGAGCAGTTTGAACGGAAAGCTGAGGTATGTCGAGGTATGCAGTTTATGGGGGCAATTACCGTATGACACAGTGAAGCAGGAACTGAGTCTGTGAAGGACCTGGGACTACTCTCTTCAGTTCGTGTTGTGCTGTGTGCACAAATGAGCCATGACTCCATGTCATGCACCACTCACACTATGGGCATTATTGATAGCATTTAGGCCTTAAAACACCTTATAGGGATGTATTATTCATGACGAGGAAACTGAGCCTAACAGATCAACAGCAGCTTACCCAAGGTCATGTGGCTATTAAGTAGCAGAGTTTTTTGTTTTTTTTTTTTAGACCTCTAAGTGGATATTGGAAACCAGTGCTTCTCAAAGTTAATGTGCATATGAATAGCATAGGAGTCTTGTTAAAATTTGGATTCTGGGCCAGGCGCAGTGGCTCACACCTGTAATCCCAGCGCTTTGGGAGGCCGTGGCGGGTGGATCGCTTGAGCTCAAGAGTTCGATACCATCCTGGGCAACAGGGCAAAAGCCCATCTCTACAAAAAAAAAAAGTTAGCTGGGCCTGGTGGTGCACTCCTGTGGTCCCAGGCTGAGGGAGGCTGAGGCAGGAGCCTGGAAGGCAGAGGTTGCAGTGAGCCGACATTGCACCATTGCATTCCAGCCTGGGCAACAGAGTGAGACCCTGCCTCAAAAATTAAAAAAAAAAAAAAAAAATGCGGATTCTGATTCATGAGATCTGGGGAGGAGCTTGATGTTATTATCAAGCTCTCAAACATTGCTGCTGGTGGTCTGAGGACCACAGTTTGAATAGGAGGCTCTAAATAAGTGTATTGTACTTAGTAATATGTCACAGGCCTCCTATCAGAGACTGACTATTCTGATAACAATCACCTTAGTACCGCCCCCTCCCCTTTTTTTTAAAGAAATGCCATAACAGGCCGGGCACAGTGGCTCACACCTGTAGTGCCAGCACTTGGGGAGGCCGAGGAAGGCGAGACCACCCTGGTAAACATGGTGAAACCCTGTGTCTACTAAAAATAGAAAAAACAGCCGGGTGTGGTGGTGAGTGCCTGTAATCCCAGCTACTCAAGAGGCTGAGGCAGAACAATCCCTTGAACCCGGGAGGCAGAGGTTGCAGTGAGCCAAAATCACAGCCCTGCACTCCAGCCTGGGTAACAGAGTGAGACTCTGTCTCAAAAAAAAAAAAAAAAAAAAAGTAATGCTATAACAACAGATTATGTATCTGAAATGTAAAAATGTAACTTTTTTTTTTTTCTTTTGAGAAGGAGTCTTGCTCTGTTGCCTTGGCTGGAGTGCAGTGGCACAATCTTGGCTCACTGCAACCACTGCCTCCTGGGTTCTAGTGATTCCCCTGCCTCAGCCTCCCGAGTAGCTGGGACTACAGATGCCTGCCACCACTCCCGGCTAATTTTTGTATTTTTAGTAGAGACGGGGTTTCACCATGTTGGCCAGGCTGGTCTCAAACTCCTGACCTCAGATGATCTGCCTGCCTCAGCCTCCCAAAGTGCTGGGGTTACAGGTGTGAGCCACTGCATCCAGCCAAAAATGTAACTCTTAATACATTGACTAATTTTTGCTTTCTTCGGAATTTATCATTTGAATTTCAGGTTTGCATCGCCAGCTTCTATATATTACAGCCTTTTATTTTGCTGGATATTTTCTTGTAAAACGTCATGACTACGTATGTGCTGTGAGGGATCGTGACATGTTTGAGTATATAAAATTACATCCAGAGGATTTTCCTGAAGAAAAAGGTATTTCTCTCATACTCTATGTTATGAAAAAAAAAAAAAAAAAAAAAAGAGGCCAGGCATGGTGGCTTATGCCTGTAATCCAAACACTTTGGAGGCCAAGGCGGGCGGATCACCTGAGGTCAGGAGTTCAAGACCAGCCTGACCAACATGGTGAAGCCCCATCTTTATTTAAAAAAAAAAAAGAGAGAAAAGAAAAGAAAAAGGTATTTCAAGTTAATTGTAGAGAATCTGTGTTTACTGTATTATTATTTTCCCTGGTTACTCTTATTCATGTCTATGGCTTTAGGTAACTTCTAAATTCTGTTGACTTCCACTTCTTAGTCTATAGACCAAAATTCTCTTGAATTAATATATCCACTTTCTGCCTGACTTCCTCTGTGTCCTTTGGACAGCAACAAAATTCATGTCCCCTCTGCCTTCCCAAACCTCCTGCTCCTCTGTCCTGCTTCAGGGAGTGGCATTGCTGTCCACCTGGATGCTCAAGCCAGAAGCCTGTGAATCATCAAGTCTTCCTCTTTCACTTCCCATTAGTCATCATGTCTTATCAGTTCTGCTTCCTAAATATTTCTCAACTTTGAACTCTCCCCTCCCAATACCACTACCCTGGTTCAGGCCTTGATAATCTCTTGCTTGGATTGTCGCACTTGCCTCTTAACTCACTTCTTGCTTTGGTCTTATTTCCAGTGACAGCAAATCTGATCACATCTGTTTAAAATAGTCATCCATTGCCTAGTGGATAAAATTCAGGCTCCTTAGATGGCTTATTTCCTCTGGCTTCACTAATTGCCTGTCCTCTGGTAGAAACACTTTACCCACATCCCTGTCTACCATATGATATACACATGTCTGTGTTCTTCATGGGCTGTAGCTTTGCCTTTATTTCCCCAGCCTCTCGCACAGAGCCTACACATAGCAGGCACTTATGCATAATAGTGGATCTGAACCGTATGGAACACTTTCTCATCCCTCATCATTTGCCTGGTGAAGTGCTTTGTCCTGAGCCTGTCCTGTATTGCTTTGTACATGTTACACCTTCTTCCTGCTACGTTCTTCCTCTTGCCCCTGTTGCCACCCCATCTACCTAGCAAATTTCTGCTTTTATTATCTCAGTGAAGCCTTCACCCAGCTAGAGTCAGGCATTCCCTCAGCATGCTGTATCTCTATCCTGCTATGAATCTATTAATAATTGTAATATGACTTTTCTCACCTGTGTTTTACACACATATGACACAGATGTATACATATATGAGTCTTTGTAAGTTGGCAGTTTAATTTACTAGGACAGGTTTTTTTTGTCTCCCCAGCAGTTTGGCACACACATCCATATTAAATGTGTAAATGAATGAGTATAGAAAAAATTTGGACTTGTAAATGTATAAATAGATTTTCCCTAGCCTCACCAACATAGTGAGACCTCATCTCTCCAAAAAAAAATGTTAAAAACTAGTTGGGTGTGGTAGTGCCAGCTACTTGGGAGGCTGTGGCAGGAAAATTACTTGAGCCTGGGAGGTCAAGGCTGCCATGAGCCGCAATCACCCCACTGCATTCCAGCATAGGTGACCAAGCAAGAGACCCTGTCTTAAAAAAAAAAAAAAAAATGATTTTTTGATTAATGTAAATGTGTGATATAAATAACATTTAAATTTCATTAGACTGAATGATCTCTAAAGTCTTATTTAGCTCTAAAATTTTCATTACTCTTTAATATTCCACAGGCATCAGTCACATATGTGATATTTATGGTAGATCAGAAAGATATGGCTTTTTTTTTTTTTTTTGCCAAAGAAGAGCTTAAAGACGAGCACAAAACTGTGAATAGTGGATGTATCAGGAATGCATAATTCTCAGAACTGTTAAGTGTTAGAACTGGAAGTCATCTTGGATATATTGATTAGTAGGAATGAGACCCCGTGGCTGAGCAGTCTTCAGTCCCAGACCTCTGGCTTTTTGCCTAGAGATAGTTCCACAAGTTCCCTGTGTCTGCAGGAGTGTGTATAACTGCAGGCTTCATTCTGTTTCTGAGCTGCAGACTTGGCAGTTGTGCCAAGAGCCTCATGCACAGACAGTGGGAACCCGGATAGCTTGACCACATTGGCTGCTGGCCTCTCCTAGCTGACGCATGCCTCTCTGTGTTTATTTCTTCCTTCACCTCTTCATTCAAGATACTCCTGGCAGCACCTGGTCCTTCTTAGCAGCTGTCTAGTTGTCATCACAGATTCCTCCAAAGTTATTCTTCATTCGATGAAAGAAAATCTTTCAGTGATTGCCAAGCCATAGTTGAGGACAAGAAAATAAGGAAATTCTTAAGGGTTTGTCTTAGTCCATTTGGCCTATAACCAAATGCATAGACTGGGTAACTTTTAAAAATTAATTTTTTTTCCTGCTACCTATATAATTGTAGAATAGACTGGGTAATATATAAATAATAGAAATTTATTGCTTACAATTCTGGAGGCTGGGAAGTCCAAGATCAGGGTGCCAGCACAGTCAGTGTCTGCTGAGGGCCCACTTTGTGTTTCATAGATGATGCTCTCTTGCTGTGTCCTCACATGGTAGAAAAGGCAAACAAGCTCCCCTAAGTCTCTTTTATAAGGGCACTGATCCCATTCATGAGAACATAGCCTTCATGACCTAATCACATCCCAAAGTCCCAGCCTCTTAATATCATTGCCTTAGGGGTTACATTTCAACTTACGAACTTTGGGAGGACATGAACATTCAGACCATAGCAGGATTTCAATCAGTAAGATTACTGAGTGTTAATTTTCCTTTAGGTAATACAATTTTTAAAACAATTAAAAAATATATCCTTTGGGCCGGGCGCGGTGGCTCACGCCTGTAATCCCAGCACTTTGGGAGGCCGAGGCAGGTGGATTACCTGAGGTCAGGAGTTCGACCCTGTCTGACCAACATGGTGAAACCCTGTCTCAAAAATATATATATTAAATAAAAAAATAAAAATAAAAATATGTCTTTTATGATCTTTCCTTTTTTAGAGAAGAAAACGTATGGTGAACTTTTTGAAAAATTCCATCCAGTACGTTGAAGTCTTCAAAATGCTTGCTCCAGTTTCACTGATAACTGCTGTATCTGAATTTGATGGAACATGTTTCCAATGACAGTTGAAGTTTATGCTAATCTGTATGTTGACACCTTGTAATTAAAATAGTTACCATGAGTACTCTGACTCTTTATTGTTGTAAGAAAAACAATTCATCAGAGAATGGTCAGTTTCCATTCATCCATCTGAAAGATTTTAAAATGAGGTTGAGTTCTAATTTAGAGTTAGCGGACTACAGCCTATGGGCCAAATCTGGCCCGTTGCCAATAAAGTCTTACTGAAACAGCCATGTTCATTTGTTTATATGCTGTTTATGGTGACTGCCATGCTATAAGAGCAGAATTGAGTAGTGATAGAGACCTATGGCTGGCAAAGCCTAATTAATATGTGACCCTTTCAGAAAAGGCTTCCCTGCTTCTGTCCTACTGCAAAGTGAATTTAGAGTGAGACAGATTACAGAGAATTCTGTGACTCATGCAAAATAATTTTGACTTCATCCTATAGATATTAAATCATACAGTGTTGTTTGTATTTCTGAGCTCTGTCTGTAATGATATAGAAGATGGTTTAGAAGGAGGACACTTGGCCAGGCTCAGTGGCTCACGCCTGTAATCACAGCATTTGGGAGGCCAAGGCAGGTGGATCATGAGGTCAGAAATTCGAGACCAGCCTGGCCAATATGTTGAAACTCCATCTCTCCTAAAAATACAAAAATTATCCGGGCATGGTGGTGGGCACCCGTAGTCCTAGGTACTTGGGAGTCTGAGGCAGAAGAATAGCTTGAACCCAGGAGGTGGAGGTTGCAGTGAGCTGAGATTGTGCCTCTACACTCCAGCCTGGGTGACAAAGTGAGACTCTGTCTCAAAAAATAAATAAATAAATAAGGAGGAGACTTCAGAAAAGGAAAATAGAAATCTTATGCTGCAAAGGTGTCTTTGCTCCTAGATGGATTATCCTGGAAAAAGTGGACTCAGGAGCTAACACTGTCTACAGTGGAGCTTGGTGCAATTAGAAGCAAGGACTGCACCTAACTGGAATGAGGTTACTTTTTATGGCTTATCAAATGCTTGTCCTGGCTTGATGCAATGGCTCATGCCTGCAATCCCAGCACTTTGAGAGGCTGAGGCAGAGTAGATTGCTTGAGCCCAAGAGATCAAGACCAACGTGGGCAACATGGCAAAATATTGTCTCTACATAAAATACAAAAATTAGCCGGGCATGGTGGCACATGCCTATAGTCTGAGCTACTCAGGCTGAGGTGGAGTTTGAGGATGCAATTAACTGTGATTGTGTTGCAGTTCACTGCAGCCTGGGCAACACTACAGCAGCCTGGGTGACAGAGACCTGTCAAAAAAAAACAAAGTACGGGCCAGGCGCGGTGGCTCACGCCTATAATCCCAGCACTTTGGGAGGCCGAGGCAGGTGGATCACAAGGTCAAGCGATTGAGACCATCCTGGTCAACATGGTGAAACCCCGTCTCTACAAAAAATACAAAAATTAGCTGGGCATGGTGGCGTGCGCCTGTAGTCCCAGCTACTTGAGAGGCTGAGGCCAGAGAATTGCTTGAGCCCAGGAGGCGGAGGTTGCAGTGGGCCGAGATTGTGCCATTGCACTGCAGCCTGGCTAACAAGAGCAAAACTCCATCTAAAAAAAAAAAAAAGTACTGATCCAAAAAGTTTTTGTTTTCTAGCTTAGAATTTATAATCATATTAAGTTTTGGAGATAAAGTATTTTTCTTTATATGTGATTTCAAATTAGTTGGCCATATAAATATAAGCAGATGGTTTCTGGGCAAAATTAGATGAATTTCATCTCTCTCTTCGTGAGTACCACTTATAAAACCTGAAATTAGGTTGGAGAAAGTGCTTTAGAAATAATAAACATGTACAAATAAACAAGATTTTGTTTTTTATTGCTGCAATAAATAGGTTTATAGTTCACTTGTCCTTGGCCTTATCAGTGTTTGGCAAGTACAAGAGGTGAAGCATTCATCCCAAGAGACTCTGCTACCTCTCAGCTCTGGTGAGTAAAAAGCAAGGGTTAGAGCAAATACATAGGGGAGCGGGGGAGAAAAAAAATCAGGCTATTTTATTAGCCCTCACATGCCAAGTGCTTTTGATTCATCATGTTTAATTTTCACAAGCTTGTGAGGTAGATAATATCCCCATTTTATAGATGAGGGAATTTAGGCTCCATTGGGTTAAATAACTTGCCCAAGTGCACATACTGAATGACTGCCATGAGGAGGGATGTGAATTTTGGTCACATGCCAACACCTACGTTCTTCCTACCATACCACACTGGGCAGGTAACTGTCTAGTCCCTCTTGAACCACTTGTCACCCCGCCAAGCTGGTAAGAGGAGTGAGGGGAGCAGTGAATAGCAACAGACTAAAGGTGAGCCAGTGACTGGAGTCCAGGAATTGGTGCTCAGAAGGAGATAAGAGAATCATCCCGGAGAACTGAGCCATCTTCACTTCTGGCTGCAGGTCTAGGCTTTTCTGTTCTCATCATCGGCTAGTGAACTGCTCCACTGGCCTCATCACAGAGTCTGCCTTCTATCATGTGAAGGGATCTGTGGAGTGCAGAAAATTTTTAAAAAGCCAAGTCAGTATCAATTCAAACAACTAAGATACTGTCACATGCCCACTGAAGCAGGAAGAGCAATGAAAAATCTCAATGCTGGTGTTGCTGTCAGAAAACTGGCAGTGCCTCAGCACTGTAAGGAGAATCCTAGGTTGTCAGAGCTGAAATAACTCATTTGATTTCTCTGCTGTATTTTATTAACAGGGAAACTGAGATGCAGAAAGGTAAGATAAGTTGTCTAGGGCAGGATATGGTGACTCTTGCCTGTAATTCCAGCACTTTGGGAGGCTGAGGGAGGTGGATCACAAGGTCAGGAGTTCAAGACCAGCCTGGCTAACATGGTGAAACCCTGTCTCTACTTAAAGTACAAACTAGCTGGGCATAGTGGTGTGTGCCTGTAACACCAGCTACTCGGGAGGCTGAGGCAGGAGACTTGCTTGAATCCGGGAAGGCAGAGGTTGCAGTGAGCTGAGACTGTGCCACTGCACTCCAGCCTGGGCAACAAAGCAAGACTCTGTTTCAAAAAAACACACACAAAAAAAAAAGTTGTGAAGGATAATACAGAAGTCAATGGAAGGGCCAGGACAAGAGCCCAGATTTTTAACTGTTGCTATACCACCCTGCCCCTGAATGAAAATCAGGTTAGGGTGTGTTGAAACATTATGATGTAGAATTGCTGCCATGGTCTTTGAAGCTATTTGGTGAGTCAAAGAGCGGGGTTTCTACCCACTCTGCCATGCCCAGTTCCCACTTTGTGCCCACTCTGCAAAAGTCTAAGGCTCTAAGGAACACAGAAAATCTACCACTGTAGAGGAAAAGAATTAGGTGATTCTTTTAGACCAGAGTTTACATCTTGGCTCTGCCATTTACTGAGTAACCTTGGACTCATTTTACTTCTCAGGCCTCCTGTTTTTTCATCTGCAAAAGGGAATGATAATTCCATTAGGTAATGGATATGCAAAGTGATCTTAAAACTATTCAAATGCCAGTTTTAAGTTTTACTACCACTGTTATTGAGTGAGGAGGCTGAAATCCAGAGAAGTGAAGTAGCTTGCCCAAGGTCCCAGAGCTCGTTATTGATAGAATCAGAATGTGAACCCAGAGCTGTTGACACAGCCCAGTCTAATTCAAGAAGAACCTCTGTGAAGAACCTCGGGGAGCCTCAAGGGGAAAGGGAGGCAGGGTCCAGGTTGACAATTTGGGTTTGAAGTGGGAGAAGGGAAAACAGAAAATGCCTGGAGTAGAGCTCTCCATAGGTTCTGTGTTTGGGGGTCCATGTTTATTCCCCATAATTACAGAGCAGCCTTAACACAGATTATGAAGGTAACACAATATGGCAGACAGTGAGTATGTTGGAAAGAACACACTCAGCTCAAAGTTGAGGCTGGTCTCTCTTTTGTCTCCTTACTGAGTGACTTTGGGTGAGTCACTTCACCTCTCGGGCTTCAATTTCCTTAGTAAATTGAAGTAAAGCGGGGATGAGAATCTTGTCCTACATAGCTGCATCAGGTAGTTTTGAGATAGCAATGGACATGGATGTTGTTTACAATGGATGAGGCTAATTTCTGGAAGCAGGGCTGGCAGGTGACACAGAATCTAAACTGGCAGGTGCTATGGTCCGATTTCTATTCATACTAGTATTGGCCAGGCACAGTGGCTCATGCCTGTAATCCCGGCACTTTGGGAGGCTGAGGCAGGTGGATCCCAAGGTCAGGAGATCGAGACCATCCTGGACAACATGGTGAAACCCTGTCTCTACTAATATACAAAAAACTAGATGAGTGTGGTGGCATGCATCTGTAGTCCCAGCTACTAGGGAGGCTAAGGCAGAATTGCTTGAACCTGGGAGGCAGAGGTTGCAGTGAGCCAAGATCACACCCCCTGCACTCTAGCCTGGTGACAGAATAAGACTCTGTCTCAAAAAAAAAAAAAAAAAAAAAAAATGCTAGTCTTTATCCATTAGTGACCGAGTGACCTAGTTGTGACCATGCCTGGGCCCCTTCCCACCTCCTACCCTCTGCCACCACCTGCTTGTTTAGCTTGCTGTTTATCCACAGTCACCACCACAGCCCCTCTGTGCATAGTTATGTAGGCTCAGACTGCAACACATATTCACATGTACATACAACAGGGCTTCCCAACAGGCATGCCTGCATACTTGGGTGTGCCTGGAATGAATTATAGTGCCAAGATGGTGGTCCCTCGGCTTCCTGTTTGGTGGGTTCCAACCTGGTATGGTCAGAGTACCCCCAGCCTGTTGTAGGAGTAATGCAAGCAACCTCACCTATGTATTCCCATGTGCCATATAATCTTCCATGTTCTGTGACTTGAAAAAATGTTGGGAATCACTTTTTTTTTTTTTTTTTTTTTTTTTGAGACGGAGTTTCGCACTTGTTACCCAGGCTGGAGTGCAATGGCGCGATCTCGGCTCACCGCAACCTCCGCCTCCTGGGTTCAGGCAATTCTCCTGCCTCAGCCTCCTGAGTAGCTGGGATTACAGGCACGCGCCACCATGCCCAGCTGATTTTTTGTATTTTTAGTAGAGACGGGGTTTCACCATGTTGACCAGGATGGTCTCCATCTCTTGACCTCGTGATCCACCCGCCTCAGCCTCCCAAAGTGCTGGGATTACAGGCGTGAGCCACCGCGCCCGGCCGGGAATCACTATTACACACACGGAATTCACAGTGTTCACTTAAATCAATACACATGCCTTGGGTAAGTTTCTTCATTTATAAAATGGAAATAATAAAACCTGGCCAGTCATGTGGCTCACACATGTAATCCCAGCACTTTGGGAGGCCAAGGTGGGCAGATCACTTGAGGTCAGGAGTTCAAGACCAGTCTCGCTAACATGGTGAAACCCCACCTCTACTAAAAATACAAACACTAGCTGGGCGTTGTGGCACATGCCTGTAATCTCAGCTACTCAGGAGACTGAGGCACAAGAATCACTTGAACCCAGGAAGTGGAGGTTGCAGGTAGTCAAGATTGCACCACTGTACAGCCTAGGCAACAGAGCGAGACTTCATCTTTGGGGAAAATTGAAAAATGGAAATTAAAAAACCTATCTTTTTAAGATTATAGTGAAGATTGAAAAATTCTATGTCAAGCACTTAGAGGTTGTGCTGGCACTTACTACATGCTTCAATGGAGACTATTACTATTACATGACATCAGGAATTCTTAGGATTCATGGACAGGCCTTGGTGGATGGGATATCCCCTGAAATTATATGTACAGTTATCTGCCTGTCTACCTGAACTTGGGGGAAAGAGTCCATAGCTTTAATCAAATTCTTTTTTTTTTGAGACAGAACCTTGCTCTGTCTCCTGGGCTAGAGTATAATGTTGTGATCACTGCTCACTGCAAACTCCGCCGCCTGGGTTCAAGTGCTTCTCCTGCCTTAGCCTCCCAAGTAGCTGGGATTAAAGGTGCCCACCACCACACCCGGCTAATTTTTGTATTTTTTAGTAGAGCCGGGGTTTCACCATGTTGGCCAAGCTGGTCTCGAACTCCTGACCTTGGTGATCCACCTGCCTCAGCCTCCAAAAGTGCTGGGATTACAGGCATGAGCCACCGCACCCAGCCCCGCTTTAATCAAATTCCTAACGAAGTCAGTGGTGAGAACACACTCATTCAGTTCACACATCTGCAAGCATTCACATACTAATAAGCACACATGCACAAACACATATATGTGCATATGAGGTATGCACTCACAGGCCACTTTTCTTCTGTCTCCATATCACTTCATTGCAATTGCCAATTTGAGATCAGAAGGATAGTAATGCAGTCTTAGGCCTCCCGCGGTTGTAGTATTGGGACTACAATACTACAATACTACTACAATACTACAATACTACAATACTACTCCCAATACCCTGACTCGAGTGGCTCTATCTGAGAACCAGGCTGTTCCTCTCCCACTGGGTTGCACCACTGCCCCCTCTCCTCTTCTGGAATGTCCCTTGGTAGACTTTGACACCCACCAGCATAGCCACAATTACCTTCCCTAGTGTCCCAGGTCTACTGGACCTGTCCTGTCATTTCCTGGTATTTCCTTGTCACCTCCTGGGCTTTCTCAGTGAGGTATGTGAGGATGTGATGAAGGCTGGAGAAGTGCAGGTGGAACTGGGCTTCCAGCCCCAGCTCTCCTGAGGCACTCTCATCCGCAACTTCCTTTGTCTCTGCGGTTCCATTCTCAGCCTCCTCGGCTTCACCGCTTGCCACCTTGGCCTGCCACTCTTCCCGTGGCAGCAGCCCATGGTCCACATCCATGCGAATGGCCTTGAGCATGGTGAAGTAGGTGTAGAGATCAGAGGCCCTGGCCTTGGCTGGGCCCCCATGCCCACTCAGCTGTGCGTCCCGAAGAAGGCTGGGGATCATTACCACCTGCTCCATGTTGCGCACCTCAGCTGAGTACCGGTCCATGACAGACAGCAGGCTGTTCTTGGCGTAACGCTTGGTTAGCACCTGCATGGTTGCTTCTTCTGACACACTGAGCCCAGCAGACTGTCCCTGCACTATTTCTAGGCTCTTGGCAGATTGACAGGATGCCAACGCCCAGCTGTTGAGCCAACACAGCCCTGTTTTGGCCAATCCCAGGGCTCAGTCCCCAACGTCTGTATCAGGTGATCCATCTGCCCAGGGATAGATCTGCCAGCCTTCTGCTTGTCATCCCAGCTCTGCATGACTGCCCCAGCAAGAGCCCAGCTCTTCCTCTGGCAGCTTGCTGGGCCAGTTGGAAGGAATCTTTTCACTTTGGCAACTGGTACACTGGACCCCAGGGCAATAAAGAATTATTTCAGGTCACTGGAGACCAATCTGCCTCTTTGCTGCCTGCTTAGGGCAGCCTTCCAATGCACAGCTCACTACTTCAAACTGGGGTGCCTCCAGTGTGAAATGGAGAGGATTTGAAGTGAAACAGCTTGATGTGGGGCAAGGAACACTGAAATTGGAGTCAGAAGCTCAGTCCTGCAATTTCCTACCTGAGGTTTTTTTTTTGTTTTTTGTTTTTGTTTGGAGACGGAGTCTCACTCTCTTGCCCAGGCTGGAGTGCGGTGGTACAATCTCGGCTTACTGCAACTTCCACCTCCCGGTTCAAGCGATTCTCCTGCCTCAGCCTCCTAAGTAGCTGGGATTACAGGTGCATGCCTCCACAACCGGCTAATTTTTGTATTTTTAGTAGAGACAGGGTTTCACCATGTTGGTCAGGCTGGTCGCGAACTTCTGACCTCATGATCTACCTGCCTCGGCCTCCCAAAGTGCTGGAATTACAGGCGTGAGCCACCATGCCCAGCTGAGTATTTTTGTTGTTGCTGGCTAACATTTATTGAGTACCTACCGCACATCAGGTTCTGCACTGAGCTTCTTCATGAGTGATCTCGTTTAATCTTCACCACAACTCTTGTAAATGTTTTATTTATTTAATTTTTGTAGAGATGGGGTCTTGCTATGTTGCCCAGGCTGGTTTTGAACTCTTGGGCTCAAGCAGTCCTCCAATGTCAGCATCCCAAAGTGCTGGAATTACAGGCACAAACCACAAGTATTTTAGTTTTGCCAAGGAGGAAATTTAGGTGAGACAGCTAAAGTAACTTGCTCAAGGTCCCATTGGAGCTGGGATTCCAGCCCAGGCCCACATCTACCCACCTCCAGACAGTGCTCTGGACTGACATGAGGTTACATAGTCATACAGGTTAACCAGATCCATATCCTCTGTAAATTTGAGGTGGTGTTGTGAGGATTGAATAAGAGAAACCAATAAAAATGCTTTGTATCAATCCAGACCAGTGATTGGGACCAAAAGAGAGAAAAAAAAATGCTTTGTAAACAACAAAGCCCAATCCCCAATGTATTATCTATGCAGATTCTAGATGATTGCTAAGACTTCACCCAAATCTAACCAGTTATTCCACAAGCTACAATGCACTTTACAAGTGTTGCAAGATAATAATCTTTTGCATAGTCATATTGTCATCGTTTACAAACTGCATTTGCTATATATTTTTTTCTTAGATATTTAAGAAAATGAAGGCCTGGGGAAAGGCCCAAAGTTGCACAAGTCAGTGGCAGAGTCAAGTGGAGAATAAGACCTTTTGAGTTCTGGCTTAGGTACCTGCCCCCTCCACTGCCTCCGGTGAAATCTGCTGAATACTGCCCATGCCGGCAGGGGAGGAGAGGGAAGGAGAGAACACAGGGAAGGGACCTGTGGCTGAAAAGGGCCTCAGTGTTGTCTCGCCTAAGCCACCCTCACCTCTACCCCAGGGCAGGAGCCCTCTCTGCACTCTCCCTACTGACAATCATTCACTCCTCTGCTCCCTCCCACTATAGCCAGAGCTATGAGAAGGATTATCTTTAGATTGAACAAAATTCCACCTCCCAGCCTAGCATGGTGGCTCATGCCTGTAATCCCAGTAATTTGGGAAGCTGAGGCAGGAGGATCACTTGAGCCCAGTAGTTTGAGACCAGCCTGGGCAACATATGAGACCCTATCTCTACAAAAAAATTAATTAAAAAAAATTAGCTGGGCATGATGGCACACATCTGTAGTCTCAGTTACTCAGGTGAATGAGGTGAGAGGATTGCTTGAGCCCAGGAAGTCAAGGCCGCAGTGAACTGTGGTGACACCACTACACTCCCGCCCGGGTGACAGAGCAAGATCCTGTCTCAAAAAAAAAAAAAAAAGAAAAAGAAAAAGAAAAATCCACTTCTCCATAACCCCTTCCCATTAAGTCACTGCAGTCCAATCTGGGCAGAAGAGCAAGACTCTGTCTCAAAAAAAATAATAATAAAATAAAATAATAAAATAAAATAAGCAGGTACTGCCTTCTTTCTAGCGGCTTCTGCCTTCTGACTCTGCTTCCTGAGTCGCTCATTTATTTCTCCATGCCAAGAACTTGCCATTCTACATTTCTTCACTGCAAATGCTCAGTAAATATTGACTGAATGATGACCATGAGTTTTGCTACTTTTTTTTTTTAGACAGGGTCTGGCTCTGTCACACAGGCTGGAGTGCAATGTCATGCTCATAGTTCACCGCAATCTCTACTTTCTGGGCCCATGCAATTCTCCCACCTCAACCTCCAAGGTAGCTGGGATCACAAACAGCCACCACATCTGGCTAGTTTTGTTTTTGTTTTTGTTTTGAGATGGAGTCTCAGTCTGTTGCCCAGGCTGGAATGCAGTGGCACGACATCGGTTCACTGCAATCTCTGGCCCCTAGGTTCAAATGATTCTTCTGCTTCAGCCTCACAAGTAGCCGGGATTACAGGCACATGCCACCATGCCTGGCTATTTTCGTATCTTTAGTAGAGACGGGGTTTCACCAAACTGGTCAGCCTGGTCTTGGCCTCGTGATCCAACCGCCTTCGCCTCCTGAAGTGCTAGGATTATAGACATGAGTTACCGTGCCCGGCCTAGTTGTTTTTTTTTTTTTTTTCTGAGATGGAATCTTGCTCTGTCATGTAGGCTGGAGTGCACTGGCGCAATCTTGGCTCACTGCAACCTCCGCCTCCTGGGTTCAAGCAATTGCCTTGCCTCAGCCTCCTGAGTAGTTGGGATAACAGGCACCCGCCACTATGCCCAGCTAATTTTTTGTATTATTAGTAGACATGCGGTTTCACTAGGCTAGTCTTGAACTTCTGACCTCAAGTGATCCACCCACTTTGGCCTCCCAAAGTGCTGGGATGACAGTCACCACACCTGGCCCTAATGTTTTAAAAATGATTATTTTTGTAGAGACAGGGTCTCCCTACATTGCCTAGGCTGGTCTCAAACTCCTGAGCTCAAACCATCCTCTCACTTTGGCCTCCCGAAGTGCATTACAGTGGATTATAGGCCTGAGTCATTGCACTCAGCCCAGATTCACTTCTTGGTACATTCTAGGGTCTTTGTTTATAATATCCCATCAACTTAAAAAATAGATTTCCAGGCCAGGTGTGGTGGCTCACGCCTGTAATCCCATCACTTTCAGAGGCCAAGGCGGGTGAATCACTTGAGGTCAGGAGTTTGAGACTAGCCTGGCCAAGATGATGAAACCCCATCTCCAGTAAAAATACAAAAAAATTAGCTGGGCATGGTGGCACATGCCTGTAGTCCCAGTAGACTTGGGAGGCTGAGGCAGAAGAATCACTTGAACACAGGAGGCAGAAGTTGCAGTGAGCAGAGATGGAGCCACTGCACTCTAGCCTGGGTGACAGAGCAAGACTCTGCCTCAAAAAAAAAAAAAAAAAAAAAAAAAAAAAATTGCTTCCCTGGCTTGGAGGGAGGCAGAAGTGAGGCCTCTGTCGTGGCAAGGGACCCATGTGGCCACAGCTACATGTGGCCACCCAGGAGCTGTGTATAATGGCAGGTGCTCAAAAATACCTCACAGGCCTGACTATAAGGTGAGGTTTTTTCCTAGAATTACTACTCAGGAAAGAAAAGATTTTGCCATACTCATGTCCTGACAATCTTCATCACACAGGATTATTTCCTCTACTTTACCATGAGCAAGATGTATCAATCCAACGTTACCTCAGCCACTCAGTAGGGTGAAGAATTTGCATAAAACTGTTTCCTAACCTACAAATGGAAAAGAGTGATTTTTCTAAATTAATATATTAAGTTAAATAATTTAACCTGGCCAGGAATGGTGGCTCATGCCTATAAGCCCAGCACTTTGGGAGGCCAAAGTAGGTGGATTGTTTGAGCCCGGGAGTTTGAGACCAGCCTGGACAACATGGCAAAAACCCAACTCTACAAAAAATTTTTAAAAAACTAGCCAGGCATGGTGGCAAGTGCCTGTGGTCCCAGCTACCTGGGAAGCTGAGGTGGGAGTATCACTGGGGCCCAGAAGGTGGAGGCTGCAGTGAGCCATGATCATGATGCTGCACTCCAGCCTACGCGACAGAGGAGGACCCGGTTTCAAAAACAAAAAGTTTAGTAGATTACTTAGGTAAACATTTGATTAATTCATTTCTTTCTTTCTTTTTTTTGTTTTTTTAAAAAAGACAGGGTTAGGCCGGGCGCGGTGGCTCACGCCTATAATCCCAGCACTTTGGGAGGCCGAGGCGGATGGATCACGAGGTCAAGAGATCGAGACCATCCTGGTCAACATGGTGAAACCCCGTCTCTACTAAAAATACAAAAAATCAGCTGGGCATGGTGCCGCGTGCCTGTAATCCCAGCTACTCAGGAGGCTGAGGCAGGAGAATTGCCTGAACCCAGGAGGCGGAGGTTGCGGTGAGCCGAGATCGCGCCATTGCACTCCAGCCTGGGTACCAAGAGGGAAACTCTGTCTCAAAAAAAAAAAAAAGACAGGGTTTCACCATGTTGGTCAGGCTGGTCTCAAACTCCTGACCTGGTGATCCACCCACCTCAGCCTCCCAATTTTTAGACAGGGTCTCTGCTCACTGCAACCTCTGCCTCCTGGGTTCAAGTGATTCTCCTGCCTCAGCCTCCCGAGGAGCTGGGGTTACAGGCATGTGCCACCACACCTGGCTAATTTTTGTACTTTTAGTAGAGATGGGGTTTCAC